TTTTAATTTTTATTTAAATAAAGCATAAATGCAATAAATGATTCTCCAAGTATAAAAATATAAACAATGTTTAAAGCAAATATTTTGTTTATATGTACAAATAAATGTACTTTAATATTCCAATATGTTTTGATAATTATATGAAATATTTTGCATACCATTCTGATTACTACTACTGTTTACTAATATGTAAAATACATGTAAAATTAAATATTATGCAATTCTATTGAATTGCATAATATTTAATTTTACATGTAAGAAAAACAAATAATAAAGGGAGTTGTACTTTAATATTCCATTATTTTTACTTGTAATTCAGCTGTATTTTTTTAACATAATATATTACAACTGTATTGAAATTCTCGATCTCACTCCATAATTGCATTAGTTCAAGTTGAATAATAATAAAATTGGGATTGTTGTTGTTATTTTTGAAATAAGAAAGTAACTGAAGAGTTCAGATGTAGAAGATGGTAGGCACCTTCATGAAAGTTTAGAGAAAATGTAAAAATTAAATGTCTTAAGAAGTTTTCTGTATTTACTTTAAAGTACCATACATACAATATTTAAATTAAATATTAGCGAGAAAGTGACCATACGGTCTTCCGTGTTTTCTTCACATGCCAAAATAGGGTTGGTTCCTTACAAAAAATATTGATAGATAGTAGGATAAAATAATTATTTTTCTGTCTAAATAAATCAAGTTCTATTACTAGAAATTGAATGAAATTTGGCACCATATTTAATTTACAAAGAAACCTTTAAAAACCTTTGTGTTTGGCATCAGCCACCTATAACTAAAATGAACAGCACTCCCCTCTGGTCTGCTGTAGGAGCTCTTCATTTAAGTCATGTGTATCATGTGTAGTTACTTACTGTACAACAAAAACACTTCTAATAAAATTTGAGTTTTGACTTCCTTAAATAAGCAGTGTTTTTCATTATATTCAAGCAAACTATTAATTAGTTAAACAAATTTTGTTATAAAAGAGACACCAAAACAAATAAACGATTAAGAAGGCAATATATACATATGTATGTAAGCCATTTGTAATTGAATTTTTCATTCAGCACTTCTTACTTAATGGATAACAATGATATTAACAAATTATGGTTATATAGTATATTATATTCAAATTTTATATATAAATTAAACAGTGGATAAAAAATTTGACAGATATTTTACTTTTCGATATCTAATACAGAATTTTTAACAGATGGATAATGGACCGAAAATGTTAGAGGACGTGGCATCAAAAGCTTCAGATATATTTTGTTCTCTACTTCAACCGATGGTTAAACTTGTCGGTAAATATTTTTGTTTTTATGTATTTTGTGTAATGAATATAATTAATTTTAAAATTAAGAGTTCATTATTTTTTTTCTCTCTCAAAAATTTCCTTTTTATTTTTTTTGTTAGACTGGATTCTGCCACGACATAATTCAGAAACAGACAATTTTTCGGATAATTATCAATTTGCCGCTAGTTGTAGAGACATCTACTTAGGAGGATCAGGTTTTCCTTCAACATGGAGAGAAAAAGTAGCAATTCCTCTTCTTAAGTAAGTTGATTTGGCATTATATCATATATTATATAATGAACTTATTTTTTCACCTGAGAAACTTTTACATTTGATTTGATTATTAAAACATTTATGTTATGAAGAAAGATTTACATAATTAATAATAATTTAAAATTTTTATATATTCATGGAATATTAATAGTATATGAGCAATGATTTTCATTTATGTCCATACAAATAACTTTAATATTAACATATATTTATTATTTATACATAAATTATTCATTTAAAAATGTGAGCTTGGTTTCATTCTAAAAACATCATTTTTTTTTAATGTGCTTTGATTTCAATTTTTCATAAAAATGCTATGTTATATAAAATTACTATGCATTTTTTGGATGTAAAAAGCAGTTTTTTTAAAACTTGTTTAATTAATGCCATTCATATTTTAAGCAAAAGGTTTAAAATGAAGAGAGAACAATATTTTTTTTTGTAAATCTCAAAATTTTAAATAAAAATTTATATTAATGTGTTATTTTATTAAGCAAAATTAAAAATCAGTTTCATATATATACTGTTTAATTTTGAACTTTTTATTAAAATTTGAATAATTGAATACTTCATAATTAATTTTAGCTATTTGATAATTTTTAATAATAAAATTTAAGCTAAATATTAATATTATGATCAATTTAAGTATTTTAAAAACATTCAATCTTATATATACACAATGAGAAAATTAAAATTTTAACTTTTAAAATTTATAAACATTTTGTTCATACAGCAAGTTGCACATTGGGGACCTGAACTCATGGAAATGGAAAATCAAGCTAAGCAGGTAAATTTGTTACAGTGTATATATATTAGTTATTAAAATTAAATATTAGATATTTTCCAAAAAGAAAAATATGGTAATAGTTATGGTATGAAATACATAAATTAAAATATAGTAATATAAAACTAATTTTCTTCTCATATTTTATACATAACACACATTGTTATACATTTTTTTACATACTATTTCAAAATTTGTCTGTTTATAATTTTTTGTTGCATTTAAGTTGATATTTTTTAAAATTATAATTTGGTATTTCAGGTTTTTAAATTTTAATAAATACAAAATTAAGAATTAATTATGAAGTTTTTACACTAAATTTAATTTCCTTAAATGGACTTGTATATAATTTTTTAAGCATTTTATAACATATTTTTAACATACTAAAATGCTATAAGTTAACATTTTTCATATTATTTTTTAAACACAACTACAAGTCTAATAAATTTTTACTGTACCATAGTTAACCTACACTCAACAATACATATCTGGTAATACCCTCTAAAAAGTAGCTGATAATTCAGAATTGTCTAATAATAATTCAGTATGCTAGCATTTTGTGAATCAGAATTTGTTTTGACATGATGTACTAAAGATCAAGGCAAAAAGATGGAGTATGTGTCTGTGTGTGTTGCTACATGTTGGGAGTTGACCATGGAATTCAGCACCGTATGATTGAGAAATATGAATCACTTGGTTACAGTATCTATCTTGTTTGTGGTGAGTTGAATGTCTGTGCCTAATGTCTGTTTATGCCACAATCACAGAATAAGTTTGCATAAAAATTATTCAGGATCAGACTTGGAATCAGTTTATTTCAAGTCTTCTGTCAGTTTATTTCAATTTGGTCTTCTGTCTAGAATACATGCATGGCAGCATCTGCCATGCATGATTCTAGAGATTCTTTCCATAGTAAGACCAATTGTTTGAGTTGCTCTTCAGTTTCTCATGAGCTGTTTTGAAGTCGCTCTTCAGCTCATCATTCATTCAGCAAAGTCAGTGAATAGAATTGACAGGCTGATCTGAGTTCGAGGCAACACACCTCATCTCTAAACAAAACTTCCAGTCTAATCATTAATGTGAATCATAAACTATTACAAAATGTACAGCAATACCTTTAATATTCAGATATATCTTGTTTTCGTATTTTTGCAAACTTTTATATCTGGTATTCTGACATGTTCGATAATCTGTCACTACTCTGGTCTTATAGTCATCAGATTAATGAACATCTACTGTAGCTTTTGTGAAATATTTTTTAATAAGAGGATATTAAGAATTTCTTTTGACAAAAATTTATCTTAGTAAATAAAAAAATTTGCCTATTTATCTATACACTTAATATTATTTATTTATTATTAATACATCTAAAAATATAATTTTAATATTTATAATTTTATTTGATAGAATGCAGAAATCATGTTCTTTGTAATTGATAATCAAACAAGGTCTGTTGCATCCATGATTGAGGCAGCCCATATTGCAGGTAAATTTTAGGAATAAATGTTTAATTTAATAAATTTTCAAAAGTTATAAAACAATAAAAATTTCTAGATTAAGAAGAAATTTAGAACAATATTTTATGTTATCATATACATTTTATTGAAGTTTAACTACTATTAAAGTTAATATAATTATAATAAATTTGTCTGAAGTGATGATATCTTTTAAGTGTAGAATTTATTAAATATTTTTATAAGGATAAAACAATGTTCTATTATTTTGTGTGTGTTTAAAATTTATCAGCATTATAATTCATTTTTCACAGACAACAAAAATTGCTTAAAAATCTGCACATGGAAAATTGAAATGTTTCAAATAACTTTGCTGAATCAACATCATTTATCTTTCATATGAAATTTATATTAGTTGTATTAATTAATTGAAAAGACTTCTAGAGTTAAAAAAATTCACAGTTTCACTTTTTCTTAAATAAAATACAAATTGATATTCACTAATCCATCACCCTACACCTCACCGCAATGATGCTGCATAAATGATTTTGCCAGATTACTGATGGTTAGTTTAGAATACAGTAGGATAAGATGGTTAGGTTAGAACAGTTAACCATCTTATCCTACTTTTAAAATTCACTGTAAATCAGTACAAGTTGGTTAATAAGCAAACATTGAATGAAAATCATGTCAAATTATTGTATATTTAGCAATGTTGAGCATCCCCAAACAGTAGCAATGGGCTAGTGCAGTGACGCAGGAAATTTGAAATTACGCTAGCTGAAATTAGTGCTGGAACCAGATTACTGATAGTTGACCTGTATTTTTATTTAAGAAAAGATATGTCTTTGCACTATAAGTCTATGAGAAAATTGAAACAACTGATAAATCTTTAAAATATACAAATAAGTTGAATAATACTCTACTTTTGTTCTGAAAACAAAATATTTCAATAGTGTTTGGTCTAACAATTGAAAATGTTATCTTCTTATATACATTTATTATTTATTTAAGTAACTATTGTTTGTGTGTTTGTATACAAATGAAATATGTATACATACTTTGATCATTAATAACATCTATCTTTATTTTCTTTGAAATTGTTATTAAAGTGTGTATATATATGTTTGGAACGCAATAACAGTGGGTGATTGGTTAACAAACATAATCCATTCCAAGACTTTGTTCGCTATCAAAATTGTTTTTTAACTGATTATTGATTTAACAGGTTTTTATGGAAATTTGATTAATTTGTTCTGGAGACTCCAAAAAATAAAAAATATACTTTATTACTATGTTTATTTATATTTAATAATAAAAATACATATACGCAGTCTTGCATTTTTATTAGTCGTGTTTTTCCATTTATGGAGGTTAAAGAATCTGTCTAATGCTGATTGCTTTCCTCTCTTCTTCAAGATTTTTCAGAAGTAATTAATAGCATTGTAATTGTAGAGATATTCAAGCCTATTAAGCTCACTCTGATTTGGATGCTATTTTAAGACCATTATTCTGACATCCTCCCACTTCTTCAAAACATCTTTAATAAGCAGATGTCGGCATTAATCCTCTTTTTCAGAAGAAAACATATCTCGCCGCGTTTCTTGGTGTTCTTCATTCAAGAATTCATGGCATTCTTGTCATAAGATCAGTTTCAGGTTCCATTATGAGCTCTTCAATGTTCTTTATTTCTCAGATGTGATTTTTGTTAGCTGCTTGAGTCTTCTTGATTATACAGTATCTTTCTTAGATAAGATTGAACTGCAGCCTACTATAGACCTGTTTACGCCATACTACCCAGCAACATCAGACATCGTCTGCCCACTCTCTACCTTTGCTATTATACTCTCATCTTTCGAAAATAAAAACTGACACAAAACTTAACGAATGCCCACCCGGCAGTCTTGCAAATACTATTAAAAAATTGTTTCTGTCAGAAGAATAAAAGGCTGGAATTACAGTCTTTCCTATAATTCATATAATTTCATATAATATAATTTATATGGAATTCATATAAAATTCCGTTTTATATGAATTCCATGTTGTACGAGTCACTTAGATTTTACAAATGCGTGAGCCATTCACAGCCCGACACACATATTTGTAAAATCTAAATTACTCGTACAACATGAAATTTATATAAAATGGAATTATCAACAGTGTTATAGAGGGGTTGACTGTACAAGGGAGAGTTTCTTAGTTAGGAGGAATATTATCCGATCAGTATATACCAGGTTGAGTGCCGATGTCGATGTCTCCCGCACTCCAAAAGGTTTTGAATTGTTGCCTGAAGACAAGGAAAGACCAATTTTATGTCTCTTCTTCTTGTGTTTTTTCTGTGAGGTATTCAGTTATCCGAACATAAAAATCTTTTGTGAAAGTGTTTGTTATCCAATTTTTTCATTAACTGATCACCCACTGTATTAAAATTTGAGTCAATTTTTTTTAATGCAAAAATTTTATATATTAACTATTCATTCTAAACTATCATTTCTTGCTAAAATGTATGAAATTTAATAGGAACAGATCGAAAATTAATATTAGTAATTCACGAATTTGAAGGAAATGAAATAAAAGTAATGGGAGAACGTCTCACTGAAAAGTAAGTTTTACTATTTTTATAAATATATAATAAACAAAAAAAACAAAGTTTCCAAGTTTTAAATTTAAATCTCAACTTTTACATTTAGAGAATTAAAAGATCTGAAACAAGGTCAAAGATTTCTTCAAGATCTTGTAGAAAGAAAAGGAATCCCGGTATTCCGAAACATTCCAAATGCACTGACATGCGCAGCTCGTCTTATTCGAGAAAAAATCTATCCCCAAGATCTTAACGTTAATGATATAGCAAATCCAATTAAAATGCCTTATGTTCATCTAGGAGACAAATTAATGTAAGTAATATATGCTTTCCTGTTTTTGTTTTTTTAATATTAAACTTTAAATAATTTTAAATCTCCTGCTAATTATTAAAATTAACTAGGCTTTAAGAAATAAATATTCAAATCAAAAAGCAGCAAACTAGTCTGCTGATTAATGCAAACTGACCAATGTCAGAGGTAACTTTAATAAAACTTACTAATACATTTGTGATGAAATTGCTCTTCAATGATACATTCTTGTGCTGTTATATTGTAATGAATTAATTTTTTTACTATCATTTCTTGTGCACAATTTAATTACTATTGCAGCTTGGCTTTAAAGTTTGCCAATCTTTTTGCAGCAATGTATTTATATATTCAAACAATATTCATGACTTCACACGTCTCAAATTTTGATTTGAAGGCATCAGTCACATAAAAAGCACATCTTTGAGCATTTTTCCAGCAATGTTTTTCTTTTATGATAAATGTTTTTGGCTGACTAAAGGTCTGCCAAAAGTTCTAAATTGGAATGTTATCTCATGTGAATAATTGTCTTCTATAGGTTTTAAAATTTTAAAAATGATGGTCACAGAAACCTATTAGTTTCTGTGACCATGTATTTTCTAACTGCTTACATATGGGATGGTTTTCATTGTGACTCAATGATTCTGATAGTATTTTCATATGCTATTATATATTGTGGGCCCTTAGTTTGAGAATTCTTATTCTGTTTGTCGTAAAACAGTCTCCAGGCAGCAGATAAGGATTTAGTCTTTACAGATGAAATCATCAATGAAGGATTATTTACTTCTGTATGTTTTTTTTCTAATGTTCTATTTACAAGTTAATCAATTTTGGTATATTCCAATTTCATTACCTTCTCTAATTATAATTACTTATTGAATTATTTTATTATTATATTGAAAAAATTATTTTGTTTAAATAGGAAACTAAGAGAAGTATTTGATGATTTGGATTCTGCAAATTTGGGGGAAATTAGTCTCGAAGATGTGAGTTTATGTAATTATTCAATTGTATTTCGCATGTATTACATTTTTATCTTAAAAAATATAAAACCAGATTTTTAAAAAAATTAAGAAAAGTTTAAAAATATGGTATTAATAGAAAATATTTTTACAAAATTATTTACTTCAGACATTTTAAATTTAATTTATTAAATATGATTTTAAGATGGTTGCTTGTAATTAAATATAATTCTAAAATCAAATTAAGATTAATTCTGTTATACGTAATTTATTAATTAATAATTGTCGAGACAAATTATTATAAAACATTCAATTATTTACCTGCAAAACAAAAGAAATATTTAAAATTTTACAAAAAAAATTATAAAAATCGATTCACAATAAACCTTTGAACAGTAAAATATTTATAACAAAAAAAATTATGTTTATATAAAGATTTTTTTTTAGTTTCAAAAGTATTTTGTATCACTCTTCCTCTATCATAGTAAATATAAAAATAATTACATTAATTTGCTTTATACAAATAGAAATTTTTCCAGATTTACAATTGATATTTTATAAATGAGGTCATTAGTTTCTCATGTGAAATCGCATTCATAAAGATCCTTATGGATGATGAGGGAAGGGGATAAGTTCTTGTCAACCACATAAATTTTTTAGATAACAATACAAAAAGTCCACGTAACTGAATTTTTAGTTTCTCTGACACTTTTGAATTTTAATTAAAGAAAATTCAAGATAAGATATGCAGAGTCTTAGATAAAAATTTTGAATATTTTAGTTTTGAATTTTGTATTAAGTGAGGTTTTAATCATGATAAGTTATCTAAAATATTTGATGTTTTCAAGTGTAAATACAGTTTGGGAAAGTTAATTAAAATAAATATAATTATCTTTAGAATATACATACAGTGGAGTGTCGATTATTCGAATCAATTGGGGACGGGTTGTTCGGAAAATCAATATTTCGGATAACTGATTATGTACGAAAAAATATATTAACCTATCCCATGTTGAAATTTTTCTCCATTGCATGTTGCTTCGCGTTGAATTTTTGTCGATGTTAAGCCTAATGTAAACTTTTTAAAATAATAATTGTGACTATTGTATCATTAAAAATTATTTCTTTATTTTGTACAAACAAAATAAATATATTGAAAAATATAAAAACAATAAAAAATTATACTTCAGAAGTTAATTTAGTATCAAAAACGTAAAATATTTGAGTAGCCCAAGACATAGCCAAAGATTGCAGCACCACAGCACTGGTGAAAATTTAAATTTTGCCGACTGGAATTCTTTCGGATAATTGACGTTCTACTGTATTTATTTAATTTTATTTTAATTAATGTTTAAGTTTTTTAAAAACCATTTGAAATTTTGTCTAATTAAAATTATGATTAGTTTATTAATTCTTAAAGCATCATTCAGAAAAAAAGTATTAAATGTAGAAAATTTCATTAGATACAGCATTTAACTTCACAAAAGGTGCAAAATTTCAAAGAATTTTCTAAGTATAATTTTCAATGCTATAAAACATCCTTCTGTTCTCTACTGTGAAAAACTCTTAAGAAGAATCTTCAGCCACTTTACTTCACCATGCATTGTAGCCATTTTTTGCCCTCTTCATTCTAAAAACTTATAATTGTATTAAGTTTGCAAATTTTTATTAACTTTTCAGACAAACACAAATTGAAATACAGTTGCCAAAGCATTTTGTAGCATTTTTCACAGCAGAAAAAATGAATTTTTTTTCATAGTATTGAAAATTGTGCGTAAAGAGAGTATATTCACGCGATATGAAACTACTCTGGTGTTTAATTACATAAATATTCACAGATCACCTAAGAAATTTTACTAACATCTCCCTATTTTACAAGAAAAACATTCAAAATATTGAAAAAATATATTAACTTTGGGAATTTTTCTTCATTTTCCCAAATCATAGAAACTGTTTAATAACAGGTGAGAAATGTGTAAAAAAACGATTCATGGAATGAAATTTTATAATTTGCAAAACAATACAATTGTTATTTTACTGCAAAAATCTATAATAAGCGAAAGTTAATATTCTATTATTATTTATTTGGAAGATGTATAAATAAATTTATTGAACTAAAAATATAATAAAAATTCACAGTAACTCCATAAATAATCATGATTCTTTTAAATTTAATTTTCTCTAGATACCATGAGACAAACATAATCTAATAATCATTAGGACTCAAGTTGCAAAAACTTATTTTAAGATATATGTGATGATGATAAGCATATAATGAAACAAATATTTGAAAATTGTATATTTATTTAATAATGTTACACAATAATTGTTAGACATCATATATTTAGAATGAAATTTGTAAAAATATAGCTTGGAAAATATAAAAATTGGTAACATAAGAGATGGTTAATTTAACAGTAGAATTTTAAAATTTATATATTTATTATACAAGATAAAAATAATTATTCTGTTAGTAAATTATATAAATATCTCATATTTTTATTGATTTTTCTTCCAGGTATGTATGGCATATAAAATATTAACATGCCAGGAATTAACAATGAGTACCTTAAAATCTAAAGTAGCCCATCAAAATAATTCACTTATAAATCATTTTGAAATGGATAAAATTAACCCTCAGGATATTAAAGTGAATTTTGACCAATTCTGTTGCATAATGATGGAATTTAGAAGTCAGGTAATTTGAAAGTATTATAATTCTTAAAGTAAGTTTTTATATAAATTTTTTTTTGCATTTTTAATTTTATATCTGTGCTTATGCATACACTTCTATGCAAAATATTTACATATAGAGTAAAATCTGCTAATGTGACCACTTAAGGGTCATCATATAAAGNAACATATAATATATATATATATATATATTTGCCTTTACCAAGTCAATATTACTATAACAAATAAAGCTAAATATAAATAGTTCAAAGTTTAGACATGTTTTAAAATCAGTTCATTTCATTTCAAACTAGCCGTTAGAAAATTTTAATTTTTATTTAAATAAAGCATAAATGCAATAAATGATTCTCCAAGTATAAAAATATAAACAATGTTTAAAGCAAATATTTTGTTTATATGTACAAATAAATGTACTTTAATATTCCAATATGTTTTGATAATTATATGAAATATTTTGCATACCATTCTGATTACTACTACTGTTTACTAATATGTAAAATACATGTAAAATTAAATATTATGCAATTCTATTGAATTGCATAATATTTAATTTTACATGTAAGAAAAACAAATAATAAAGGGAGTTGTACTTTAATATTCCATTATTTTTACTTGTAATTCAGCTGTATTTTTTTAACATAATATATTACAACTGTATTGAAATTCTCGATCTCACTCCATAATTGCATTAGTTCAAGTTGAATAATAATAAAATTGGGATTGTTGTTGTTATTTTTGAAATAAGAAAGTAACTGAAGAGTTCAGATGTAGAAGATGGTAGGCACCTTCATGAAAGTTTAGAGAAAATGTAAAAATTAAATGTCTTAAGAAGTTTTCTGTATTTACTTTAAAGTACCATACATACAATATTTAAATTAAATATTAGCGAGAAAGTGACCATACGGTCTTCCGTGTTTTCTTCACATGCCAAAATAGGGTTGGTTCCTTACAAAAAATATTGATAGATAGTAGGATAAAATAATTATTTTTCTGTCTAAATAAATCAAGTTCTATTACTAGAAATTGAATGAAATTTGGCACCATATTTAATTTACAAAGAAACCTTTAAAAACCTTTGTGTTTGGCATCAGCCACCTATAACTAAAATGAACAGCACTCCCCTCTGGTCTGCTGTAGGAGCTCTTCATTTAAGTCATGTGTATCATGTGTAGTTACTTACTGTACAACAAAAACACTTCTAATAAAATTTGAGTTTTGACTTCCTTAAATAAGCAGTGTTTTTCATTATATTCAAGCAAACTATTAATTAGTTAAACAAATTTTGTTATAAAAGAGACACCAAAACAAATAAACGATTAAGAAGGCAATATATACATATGTATGTAAGCCATTTGTAATTGAATTTTTCATTCAGCACTTCTTACTTAATGGATAACAATGATATTAACAAATTATGGTTATATAGTATATTATATTCAAATTTTATATATAAATTAAACAGTGGATAAAAAATTTGACAGATATTTTACTTTTCGATATCTAATACAGAATTTTTAACAGATGGATAATGGACCGAAAATGTTAGAGGACGTGGCATCAAAAGCTTCAGATATATTTTGTTCTCTACTTCAACCGATGGTTAAACTTGTCGGTAAATATTTTTGTTTTTATGTATTTTGTGTAATGAATATAATTAATTTTAAAATTAAGAGTTCATTATTTTTTTTCTCTCTCAAAAATTTCCTTTTTATTTTTTTTGTTAGACTGGATTCTGCCACGACATAATTCAGAAACAGACAATTTTTCGGATAATTATCAATTTGCCGCTAGTTGTAGAGACATCTACTTAGGAGGATCAGGTTTTCCTTCAACATGGAGAGAAAAAGTAGCAATTCCTCTTCTTAAGTAAGTTGATTTGGCATTATATCATATATTATATAATGAACTTATTTTTTCACCTGAGAAACTTTTACATTTGATTTGATTATTAAAACATTTATGTTATGAAGAAAGATTTACATAATTAATAATAATTTAAAATTTTTAACTAATTAGCTTATTATTCTAAAGTTTTTAAAAACAATAAATCTTTACTAGAAACATTAACATATAGTGACCTATTATACAAAGTATATTTAGTAAAAATTGAAAAAAAATTTCTTGGCATTAAATTTAAAATATGAAAGTTTTTAATTTAAAGGGAAAGCTAATTAACATGAAATTAAATAATAATGTGCATTGAAAAAGTTTACAACAGAAAATTTCACTTTAATATTAAAGTTATAATTTGATAATAGCTTTTTATTTGCTTTTAATACTTTAGACCCTAATCAATTGACCTAAGTGAAATTTTCAATGTGTTTGCATTCCTCTATCTTTAAATTTTAAAATACTTATGAATTCAACTATTTTATAATTTTTAAAATTCCAAAAAGTCAAGAACAAGTAACAATATAAATCTAATTCCACAATCACAAAAGATACAGTGTTTTGAATAAATTATTTATGCTAAGCATAAATATACAACTACATCCCAGTTAAAACAAAGATAAGAAACTATGGAGTAATATTGAACAAGTAGAAAAATGGCTCCTCTTAGCTTTATTTTTCTTAATTATTTTTAAAATACTTTTTACTTGTATTTTATGATTTGATGTCATTGTTTTTCCTCTTTGGATTTCAACCACTATTCTAATCTTTTGGCACACATACTGAAAATTTTGCAACAAATTAGGATTTATTCTTGTCCTATTGTGTGTATATATTTTTAACAGTATTTATTAAATTTTACTGTTTATTTTAAAGTTGTATTATTCACTATCCATATATATTTTGATACACAATCAATTTAAAAAATAAGAAATTACAAAAATATTCTGTTAAAATTTTTATCATTGTGCAAAGTATTTAGGATACAATTTTTTTCCAGTTGAAAAATTTTTAATTTGAAATTAAAGTTGAAAAATTTTGTCATTTTTGCAAAATAAGTAAATAGTGAATATGAAAATATTAAATTAATTTTAACAATAAATCTAATCTTAAAAAAGAAATAATTTTAAAATAATAATATAATCGACTTTACTTTTGATTAAATAGGAAGCATGGTCTCACTTATTTTTGTCCGCAAGAAGAACCGTGGAACAAGCGTTTGATTCCACTAGAAGCTGCGGCGATGGAAAACAGCAGAATTTTATTATTTGTTATTACCAAAGACACGAGATCATTAGCTCAAATGACTATCGTAAGTTAATTGGATCATAAACATTATTTCCTATCTACCTGTTAGTTTATGTCAATTTAAAAAAATAAGTGTATTGTTATTCACAAAACAAACATATTTTTTTTCTAAATTTTAAAATTGTACAAATAGAATTTGTACAATTTTAATAACACCCAAACATCAAAATAAAAATTGCAATTTGTGTTTTTTAGACAAAATTAATTTGGAATTAATGTTACTCTTAAATTCACAGTTATTGAAAATTTTGTTTGACTATATATTTTCAATTAAAATATTTTTTACAGGCAGGCCATTATGTCGGATTTGGATGTCAGATGGTGCTGTGCATTCAGTATCTGGAAGATAATGTCGAAATTGATGGTGAAAAAGTATGTAAAGTAATTTTTCTTGCTAATTTTTGGTCAGTCAGTTGGTCGATTAGTTAATTATCATTATTAATTATATGCTAGTTGGGGTTGTAATAATGTTTATAAGGAAATTTGCAGCATTGACCACCTAAACATTTTTTTGATGACGAAAACACTGCAGTAGGTATATTAATATTTTACATGCCAGATTAATTTCTCACAACTTCAAGGATCAAATTTTTTTAGTTGCCAAACGGCTACATTACATATAAGTTAAGTCCTACACTTTGAACATTATATAAATGTAAAACTCTAATACCCTTAAATTGTTAGCGTTGGATAGGCAGACACTATTTTTTATCTATTCTCTCTTTTGTGGTATATATAGCAACAATCCTTGTCATCAGCCCTGTCAGGAGCAATTGTTGTGCAGCATGTGTGTGCAGGAAGCAACCCATGCTACATTAATCATTTTCTGTACAAAAAGATTACAAGCAAAACAATTTATATTCATTGTTGTAACTTATGTTTAGTTCCTGATATAAACATGACCTTTATACAGGAAGTTAAAGCATTTATATGCTAGTTAGTATGCAACTGTTTCCAAGCTAAATAATCCAATAAAGACCTGGAATTTTTGAATTTCTAACTCTGATTGATTAAATGTGATTTATAGATGGTGTTTTATTTGGCATCATAAATATAAATATACAGGGGTTACAAAAGTAATATTTACCTTTGCAATGCCAAGAAATAACCTATTTCCAATAATGGTTGCTTTTTACTTTTTGACATGAACAATAAAAAGTGGCGGAGTAATAAAGTTCCATTTTGAGTGGAATAGATTTTCTTCTAGTAAGCATAGATTGGTTCAACCTCCTATCGTAGAGAAATTCAAACTGATGATTTTAGTATAGTACTTGGAAAATAGGGATTAAAGTTTAAGTGTGCCCACCCCTTTAAATGGATATGTCCTGTGCAAACTACTGCATTTGCACATTGGGGATGCAGGTGTAATATACTGCTCCACACTTAAAATGAGGAGGAGGAGATAGTATTTGCCATTTGTTAGATTTTAAAATATTTTGAATTAATTTACTATATAATTTAGAATGTTGATGGCCTATTAAGCTAAATTATACAACCTCCACCTCAACCCCAAAATCATTAAAAATACAAATTTTTGATAAAGCGAACAACCTACTGTTCCCCTAGCAATTTGTATTAATGCAAGTCGACTGTATTTTAAACGATTAAGCCACTGAGTGAAAAACTGTCTACCTACAATATAAATGCCAAATGCTTCTTTTTAACACATTGTAGATTTGATAATTAAACAGGGTGGCAGTGATATTTTATCCTAACCTGTGAAGTATCTTACTGTTAATTCACCATAGACTTTAAAATTCTGTATCTATGCTGCAACATTGAAGTATTTTTAATTTCTGCAGTTATCAAAACTATAAAATAGACAGCAACAAACTAGATTATTATTTCATTTATCATTTTAATTCAACTTTTACACTTAAGACAATTGGAGATTAGATAATTATTATAAAATATTCTAGGAAGGAACAGAAACTTGCTTCTTTGAACTTTTATAATTACAGCTACTTTTCAATGCATTCACTTTTAAATTCCAGATGTTTGTCGTAGTAACATAAGCTTTTGCAAAACCCGGCAAAAGAAGTCTTTTGTCAATTTTGGATACGGCTTATCCAGCAATCTCTAATCTTGACTCCCAAAAACTACTTTGAATGAGAAAACAAATGAACGTTGCCATGTAGTCCCGATCCAGCACTTTCCAAGTGTTCAAAGATTTCCCACTTGGGAATTAAAGAAATTTGTGACTTTGGAAAGAACATGCTTTACAATAATGCGCAGCCAAAATTACTCCAGAGTTCAGTAGGCTTTTCATCATTTCACATTAATTGCAACATTTGTGGCCGATCTGTAACAACTGTGTAAGATTTGGTAAGCTTGTCGAAGAAGCTACGACAAACATCCGAACTACAAAAGCAAATGTATTGAAAGATAGCTGTAAGTATGCAGAATTCTGTTTGTTTCTAGTCTAGCCTCAAATTTCAACTGGGAAAATTATGCTTTCTAGGTTTGTTAATTCACAATAATGCATAATTTTTGAGTGAAAATTAGCTACATTTACTGAAATATTTATCTCTATTTTGCAGCTCTCGAACCAGGCGGTAAAAGACTACAACCGAGGTAGGGTATACCTGTCCGATCTGGCAAACCGAGCCGGAATTCCAGTGTTCGAGGATCTTGAAGAGGCTGTGAACTGCGCTGCGCAAAAATGTCTGTCGAGCTCTTAGTGCAAAAAAAAGAAAAAAAAATTACAATTAAAAAAAAAAACAACAAACGATTACCTCAGACGGAAGGACAAACTCAGGCAGCAAGTCGAGAGGTGCGGATTATTAACAAAACTATTTTCTACTTTGATTTTTATATCATTTTGTGATCTGTATTGACGACATTCGCCAACATAAAACGAATGTTAAAGTTCGAGCGCTTTGTTGCATTGAGTTCGGACGTTTCTACTTAAGACGACAAAAGCGTCCCATCGTAATTTAACGTTTATTCGACTGTACATTGTTTATATAAATCTAAAAACGATTCATAACTGTACAAAGCAAGCATCTGTGTCATATACATAAGCCATTTTTTCCCCACGAAACATCAAGCATTTTAGTATGACGAGACGGCATCGGTTTTGATGCAATTTTAAATTAAGGTTTTTTTGCTTGTCTCGTGAACTTGTGCCTAAATTAATTTGTTATTTTATAACTATCTGAAGTGTATAATAGTTTTATTTCTATCTGGGACTTTTAAAACACTTTTTGTTGTTGTTTTTGCAGACAATCAGTCAGAAACATAAGCATTCCTCTTATTGTAATATTTCTGAATTCTGTGTATTATTATTAAATGAAATGTAATATTTCCTGTAGTAAAATCGTTTTAGCATTTTTTACATTGTGGTTATCGATTGATTTACACTCTTACCTAAAATGTGAAACGTTATGTAATGTTTACTCTTTGTCTGTCAGTAAGACAATTTCATTTGTTTTGAACTGGTTTTAAATTAAATTAGCAGAGACCTGGCATCGATTGGGGATATTTGATGTTACTTATGCTCTCGACACCGTCTTGTTCTGCATTTTAAAATATTTTCCCAAAATTTGCTTTATAAAAGAGAAACATCTCATTTTCATCACGTGCTTGTCATTCCAAAGGGACCATTGGCTCTCTAGAGAGCCACTGGTTGGTTGGTTTTCAGCCTTATGTACAAGATTTGTTAAAAGCTTTACATATCTGTAAAGATACGTACAATACATTAGCCAGAGCAAAAATTTTTAAAAGTACCATGTTTGGTACTGCTCTAATACTGCAAATGCCACAATTTCATCGGTTGGATAAAGGCTGTCTGGCCGACTGTAAATGGAAAGCCAAAGTTTCAGACAAAAAGTAATCACCTGTCTTTTGGAAAGTTTGTTTGCATCTGCTCTTGGGATCTTCAAATGCAAAGACTAGACAGACACAAACATAATTATACAAGACAATTTATGTTTAAGAAATAGAATTACCACGTGAACTCATGATACATCTATACTGTATACTGATACATCTATACATCTATACTGTATTGGCTTCAATCTCTGACAATAATTCAGATATTTTTATGGATTTTACTTATGTCATTAGATTTCAAGACTCGTCCATCACACAAAATTAATGAACTGCCCAGATTGGTTTATAAATTTGGTTAACCCCCCTTTCAATACTAAATTATTTTAAAATTAAAGAATTTTCAGTATTTGCCAGTACATTGTGTGTCTGTCCCGTTATATAAAAGAGGGGATCAAATTGGGGTCTGTGCTGAAATGCATACTGCAAACATAATGGAATTATTTTTGTTAATAAAATAATTAAAATAATAATGCTACAATTTAAAAGCCTTATCATTGGGATTTGAGTCCTAAATATTTAAGCAAGGTGGGCTTAAAGCAGTGTTTTCCAACCTTTTTTGTTCTATGCCCCCACCTAAGCCTTTCTAAAATTCTTATGCCCCCCTAACATATACAGCAGCCATACAGTTTTAACTTAAACTCTGGACGAGTCCATTTTCGAATTGCCCCCTTAACAATCAAATTGCCCCCATGTTGGGAAACACTGGCTTAAAGTGAGGAAAAATTTTGTCTTGTAAAAACACAAGCAAATGAGCACATGCCAGATTAAATTAATACTGATCTTTTTCCATTTTTCTGGAAAAATTGACCATGTATACTTTATAATAGACTAATATATAGATTATCTTGCATGATGTTTATGAAGCAAGTTAAGGAAGTCTTAGAACAAAGATAAAAATTTGCCATTTATACAGTGTGACAAACTGCCATAATTTAGCACCTCCCTAATGATCTAATGTGAGTTCACAAGCCATTGGGGATAAGTTCTCCAAGTGATGATTATGAAACAGATGGAACTTGTAACTTTGCATTTAATGCCATTACAGAGCTTATCACATCTGTTTTGGTGCAGGGATAAATTTAAGACTCAAATTGTTATACTGGGGTTGTTCAGTAAAGATTTGCAGTTATTAAAAAAATCTCTGGTTTTTGACTGGTGATAAAGTTGTGATAAAGTTCAACAATTTAGTAAGCATTAAAAAAGGAATTATGTGAGGAAAGGACAATTAATTACTGTAATTGTACTTAATGGTCTAAATATTTCTACTGAATGATTTGTGATTAAAAACATCAAGAATAGAAGTTGATTACGTTATAAATAAATAAAACATCAAGTACAAATAAATATTAAAATAAAAAGTGATAACACAAATTTTGTTGCAAATTAACCAAAGAGTTCAGATCTCTTTGACACTTCTAAAGTCATTTCTAGTTGATTTATTTCATCTTTTGTTCAACAAAGTCCCAAGATTGGTCAAACATTTCCACAAAGATAAAATAAAACAACTGGAAATGACTAGAAGTATCGAACAGATCTGAACTCTGGTTAATTTGTGACAAAATTTGTGTTATCATTCTTCATTTTAATATTTATTTGTGTTTGATGTTTACATTATAAATAAATAAATTAAAAACATTTAAAAATAAAGTTGAATCATTCAATATAAATATTCAGACCATTAGTTAGAATTAATCAATTGTCCTTTCCTCATACATTTTAAGGTTTACGAAATTGTTGAACAGCAGCAAATCTTTACCGAATGACCCCGATATAACGAAATCTTTACTGAATGACCCCGATATAAGCATCTCTTCAATTTTTCCAGGAAAACTGCTTACAATTCAGTTTGAAAATTATTTCTGCACTGAAACAGATGTGATAAGATCTGTAATGGTGTTTAATGCAAAGTTACAAGTATCAAACTGTAATCCATTTTATAATAATCATAAACACACTAAATGCATATTTAGGAAGTTGCTAAGTGGTACAATAAGCCCCCTTTTTACGGTTAGTTGGTCTACTCTCCTATTAATAATTTTGATAAAAGTACAGTTTAATATCAGATGATCGAGGCTGTAAAGTCACAATGCTAGAGAAATTCTCATGACTTGGATAAGTCTGCTCTTGCTTTCGCATGATTCGCGGCAAACCTGAAAAAGGCTCCAGTGTTCAACATCACTGCATTGGCAATGACATATTTTTGAAAAAAGATTTGCAGCTTGGAATAGAGAAAAGTTAGTATCCTGGAAAAACTAATAGTCCACTAGTTTGGCATTCAGAGAACAGAAAAATTAGATTTTAAGAAAGAACCCAAACACTGAATGCTTACCTTAATTCCTCCTCTAATAATATTGCAAGATAATTTTTATTAATTTGTTTACCTTGCAAAATTACAAACTGTTTCAAACAATTGTCAGGAAGAGGTATGCGCTTCATGCTTTTGACACAACGAAGGCCCAAGATCAAACAACTCTGATTGGGATTGAATCTGATCTTGATCTTTTGCATTTGAGACAGTCTCTAATCTGACTTAGAAATAAAAGGGGGCCAATAGAGGCTTGATTGAACCCTCTTTTATGTAGTTCATGTGGAGGTGTATGAGTTTTTTTTTGCTATAAACTGGAGGGGAAAAACATTAATATTAAGATAAAAAGGACAGCACACTTAAGGTTTTAAAATGTACATTGGCATGTTAAAAAAGCAGCATTTTTTTGCATGCAATATATATATTTTGTTACCCAACTGTATACAACAGAAAACATTTTGATCAAACCTATTACTTCAAATTTATGAAACACATTTCAGAATAATGTTAATTTGAGTCTCACCTAGAACTAAACATTAGTTTTATTTACTATTATGAAAACTAATCTGATATTACTCATTAAAATTCTTTGAAATAGCAAATCATATTTATATTGCATACTTTAATAATTAACAAAAATCTACTTTAAACAATTTATAATAGACCTGGACAATATGTATTGATAGCTGTTAATTTTTCTTAATTATTATTTGTATTCAAAACCCATGAAAGAATCTGGAAATGACAAGAGACATTGCATAAAGATGCATCATAATGATATTGACTCATGTTTAAGTGTTGAAAATGTTGAAAAAAATTTTAGATTGCAGACAATCTTAGTTTAATTAAACAGTAATTAGCTTGTTAAAACTGAAGGGAATATTGAAGCAAGTAGTGTTTATAATCACTCTCTTAAGTAAACAATCTGATTAATCCTTTGGTGATCGTGCCTATGGCAAATTGCCACAAAATAAAGTCTTTTGTTTGACATTGTACTTAATTATTGCAGAAGTACATCATAGTATTCTCTCTTCATATTACAAGATACAACATGTTTATCAAATTGGGTCAGTTATACTAACCATTTAGTTGTTACTGGACTTTGAATGAAGTCGTACCTCATTTGTGTTGTAACTGCCGCTACGCACCGTGCCATGTAACTAAAATATCAGTATACTTTTATATATATGTGTTTAATTTTTTTAATAAAGTAAGTCAATATTTGCAAGTTTATTAAATAAATATATTAAATTAACACTGTCGTAAGTTTCTATAAATTTTTAAATTTATATTAGTTTATATTTTTGAAAAATATAAGGGAAACAAAGAGCCATCTAAAGTAGCGGCAAAAACCTAGAATTTGTTTTATTTGTGGCATAAACAAAAACAATAGGAAAAAATCAATTTGTCAGGAATGAATAGAAACGTTTGCAAAAAGCATTGGAATATAGATATTATATGTGCCATGTGTGAAGGTGAACATCACATGAATATAAAGTAACTTTTTTTATTATCTAAATATTTTATAACCAATTTGTTCATTAAAATGTCGTAAAATTAATTTTCTGGTATATCTGATTCATATTTTCAAAACAATAATTAATTACTGACTTAAATCATGTTCACCAAACAGTTAAAATCAATAACCCAAATTTAATTTAAAAAATTTTAACTATTAATTACTTCATATTGCCATATTGGGATTTCTCAATATCTGTATTGTTTTAAAAAATTGAGGTCTACTCTAAAATTGTCGTGTCATATCACATGCTGCAGATTTAAAATATTTTGATTTTATTTCAAATATATTGATAAATAAGTTTTCAGAATACATAAAAAAATAAAACTGATATTCTTACACAAAGTAAATTTGTTCAAATATTTTTAAATCTTTTTTTTTTTTTATTAGACTTTATATTAATATATATGTATGTATAAGATGATTTTTGAAAAATATTTGTTAAAACAAATTATCACACAATATATTTTTCATAAGAAATACATAAATTTTCATTCATTCATGATAAAGATACGACAATATCGTATAAAAATAATTATAAATATTTTATCACCGGAGTAAACTGAGTGAAGACGTTTTCTGACTTAAAATGTAATTCTAAATGGGTTTCTACTCTAATTTAACTATGAGGATGGAAGTCTAATTTGAGAGAGAGTTTTTTTATATCTATTGTTATTGTTTTAAAAAAATATTTTTCCAATATAAATGATTCAAATGGATGTTTGCAGTACTACAGCAAATGATACTTTATATATTGCTAAATGGTCAAAATTTCATCACTTCATTGGTTGTGCCGACGGAACGAATATTGTTCCGCTCTGTTTGTTTGCAGTTCTCGATGGTGCAAAGCCCAGGAGCTTTTGTATATTCTAAAATAAAATGTGATAAAATATACACAATTGTAATAATAAAAATTAATACTTTAATTGAAAGTAGACAAATTACCTGTCTTATGGACATTGTGCAGAGAATATATAGAAATATAAATGAACAGTCGGTGTAATCATCTCCAGATAAATTTCTATGAGACAGACCCTGAATCCAAGATATTGGAACAAAAGGCAATTTGGCTACAACCCGACCATCAAAACTGAAAAAAGTTTGTTAATAAATTTTTCAATTTACATATTTTTTTTTTAAACTTCATTAATGATAATATAAATATATACAATATAGATGAATAAAAATATGATATTAATGGAAATCTGACAAAACTGTTAGCATTAAAATTAACTTTTTAACTATGATATGATTTATGATATTCATTCAAAGTTATCATTAGACAATAAAATATTTCATTATTTTATAATTTTATTTCTAATATAATAATACAGTAAAATCTGCTTATCATCATCACTTTGGGACTTGTTAATACTGATGATAACTGACAGATAAAATCTTATTTATTTATTATGCTTAATGTTAACTAGTAGAAATTAGTTTCTTGACTCTGATATTAAAAGGACATGTTAAAACAAAATGTATGACTTGAAGATTTATTTATTTCCACTGTAGAGACATGTGTGCATGCTTTTTCTTATCTCAGCCAAAATACTTATTAGACAAGTCTACTTTGGTGAGGTATTACTGTACATGTGTTAGAATTGTGCATGATATTGTGGACTTGACTATTTTGTAAATCACTCAAGATTAGTTTAGTATGAAAATAGAAAACTGTTTACTGCTTTTGCAAGTTCATGTTGGATGAGTCATTCATTTGTGTGTGACTTTTTATGAATGTAAGTGAATTATTTCTTGAAAATACCAAAGCTAAACTAAGCTGTTCTTCAGTTAGTCATAAGTCAACTACAAAAGCACTAATCTAATAAACTGTTACTAACTAAATGAATAGCTTTGAATGTTATGTAATATGTAATAAAAATAATGAAATTGTGAAAATTCTTTTTTTATAACACTGGTGTTTATACTAGCCTGCATTAAATTGGTAGTAATAACATTTTAAAGCTCAGATGTCAATTTCAAAAACTTGGTATTACTAATACTTGTAGCTAATGGGTATCTAGAGCAGAGGAGATTAATATTTAATTATCTAACAGCAATTACTTCAGTACTGTTTGCCTAATGTTTATCTGCAGAACCGTCTTTCACAGCAGATAGCAAATAAATAATTTTTAATTGCTAGCAATTTAACTATTTTATTGTGAACAAATAATGGTTAAAATGTTTGACATAATACAAAGTAACTTGTTCAGATTGATAACAAGTAAAAAGACAGCTTAAAAATGTTACTGTAAAAATGGACATTTTATATATATAGTCAAAACCTATCATCACATATTACTGGTTTATGCAAAGGCTGTGTTAATGTGAAGTAGATTTGTAGTCCCATGGACAAGGACAAGCATTTCAATGTTAATGAGTTTGATTAATAAGTAAGGCTAAGACTCCACTACCGTAAAAATGGCATAAAAATCCTTCGCCGTAAAAGCTTTTAATCACGTGACCCATTTGCGTTTGCGCTCAGATTACGGTGGAGGTCCGGCTAGTGCAAAGTTTTTACAGCGATGGTGCTGCCCCAAGTGTCGAAAGTAAATACTTCTTCGCACGTGAATTGGTAGAAACAGAAGACGGTTGTATACGTGATATAAAGACAATGATTATATTCTACGAGTTTTTTCTGTACTATAAGTACAAATATAGTAAAAATAATACCTTTACTTTCATATACTAACTTTTATCATCGTATTATTAAGATAATATACAGCACTTATAAGCTTAGCTTTTTTATTATATACTCCTCTAAATTGAAGGATTTCCTTTGGTATCCATTATTATAATCAGGTTACCTCTTGTCGTAGATACACGAATACTTTCAGATATTTTCGATAAATTCTTCCGGATCTATTCTAGAGTAGCCACGAGGGAACGTACACAAAAGCTTGTTTTCCTCCATTTTAGCTCCGTGTCGTGATGACGTAGATTTCACTGACTTCTGATTGGATTTCACTGACCTCTTTTCCGCGTCGAAAGTTGAACACTGCTCAACTCACTTTTATGCTGGTTTTACAACCTGCTCAGGCGTAAAATATCAGGATCACGTGATTAAAAGCTTTTACGGCGAGGGGTTTTTACGCCGTTTTTAGGGTAGTGGAGTCTTAGCCTAATACAAAGCATGTTGTCCAATTAAGTCAATAACAATTATACAGTGGTGCCTCGTATAATGTATGCCTCGAATAACGGACACTGTGAACAACGAACTTTTAGTTTGGCCATTACATGACTCGAGCAACGGACTGGCTGCGAACAACGGGCTTTCCATTCAGCAGTTCCGTGAGGCAAACAATGGTCTTTCTGCGAACAAGTGCGAATGATGTTTCCACTCTTGCTGTTTCCAATGACAATATGCTATTTTTATAATATATTAGTATTATTAGAATATATCTAAAGTACAGAGCTCCCATTGGGATTTGGCTTGCTCCCTTGTTTATTACATACACCTCAGTGCAGGGTATTTACATTTATTCAAGTGTTGTGCAAATCATGGCTTCTAAAAAAACAGTAAGGTGATTTCAATTGAAACAAAGCAAGACATCATCAGAAGAAGTGAAAGTTGACAAAAACTTCCTTTCCTTGGGAGAGGTTCAGGAGTTTACCAACACTCATTATCCAAACAGAGCTGAGGCCAACAGAATCAATGATCTCTACAATGACACCATTGCCCGTCATTTCTGACAGGTGTTGAAGAAGAGAGAGAAACAGACTACCTTGGACATGTTTTTCAAGAAGCCAGCTGCCAAAAAGCAAAGGATGGAACAAGAGGAGATCACCCAGCAAGCTCCGGTAGCCTCTCCTGAATCTGACTCCGATTAAAACCAATAAAAAGAGACCTGCTGGAATGTGTAAAAAGTCTGTATCTGTATGAATGTGTAAAGAAAGTGTTCCTCCACCTCCTTCTCACAACATCTGACTACTCAGCATAATTGGTGACTGCTCCATTTTCATTATTTTTATGGAACAGTATGGAATGAATTATATGTTTTAACATGTATTNAGACCTGCTGCAATGTGTAAAAAGTCTGTATCTGTATGAATGTGTAAAGAAAGTCACCTCCTTCTCACAACATCTGACTACTCAGCATAATTGGTGACTGCTCCATTTTCATTATTTTTATGGAACAGTATGGAATGAATTATATGTTTTAACATGTATTTCTATGGTAAAATACATTTCGTATAATGGACTTTTCACTTAACGAACGTGCACCTGGAACGGATTAAGTACGTTATACGAGGCACCACTGTATTATGTTATTTAATATAAAGCACTTTGCTTCTGGCTTTCTCAAACTCACACAAGATAACATCAATGCCAGGAATGTGTTTTTTGACTTTAATGTTAGCCAAAATGCTTTTGATGTAAATGTTATTGTCATTGTTATATACAATGACAATAACCAATAATGTTCACTTCAACTTCAAAAATAAAGCCACCTTCCTTTATAGGCAGTGCTTTGTACACTGTAACAATGTTAAACAATTAGTTAAGACATTATTGTTGGGAGTTGGATTTTTGTATTTCGTAAGCCTTTTACATTGTATAAATTAATTTTAGTAATTTTAGTGTTTTTCAATTAAAAATCTGTAGTTTTATGAAATAGTTCTTATTTTTAATTGCTTTAACAATAGAAATAACAAAACAACTGAATTATATTATTAAATACTGTAATTAATATATAATTTTAAAATTAAAAATAAACCACTTCCATTGAAATTCAAGCAAATAAGTTATTTTTAAACTTGTAAAGTTTTATGGGTATCCAGCTCCTGGATTCAATTTGGTGGCTTGATCATTCTGTTATATACAGCAATTTTAATCATTGTCATACCAACTCTAATTGATGTCAAAAAAACAAGCATTGATTCTTTCTTCAAGTCACTATCTCAATAATGTTTGAGCAACACAAGTTTATTTATTTATGTAGTTTTAAACATATTCAAACAAGATAAAATAATGAAATAACTGGGAAAAAATTTGCTTTAGCCATATGATGGCATGACTGTTGAATTTTTTCTAGTTTGCTTAATATGAGAGTAATTCAAAAAGTTCTCAGTTCTCAAAAATTAAACTTCATGAAGTTATTAAATATTTTGTTAAAAAAAGGTTTATTGACAACAGAAATTCATATACATATGAAAAATACTTATTATACTTATTAAACACTTATTTTTAAGGTCTATGCTCCTTCATTTTCAACAGTTTCCAACACTACTCAATTTAAGTGTTGTAATGAAAGCCTGGAAGATGATTCTCACAATGGATGTCCAAAAAGTGCATCAACACCAGAAACCATTAATGAAGTTCATGATATGATTTTGCAAGATCACTGATTAAAGTTACCCAACATTGCTAAAGCTGTGAACATGTTAGGTGGATCAGCATTTCATATTTTAACTGAAGAATTACATATGAAAAAACTAGCCAAAAGATGGGTACCTTGTTTGTTAACAATTGAACAGAAATGCATGTGCACTCAAATTTCTCAAGTGTCTGAAACAGTTTCAAGAAAAATACAACTGATTGTCTACTGATTTGTTACCACAGATCTAAGATGGGTCCACCACTACACACTAGAAACTAAGGGGCAATCAAAACATTGAAATCTATATACTCAGCACCAAAGATGGCAAAGGCATCTGCAGGACAAGCCATGACATCAGTTTTCTAGGATGCTAAAGAAATTTGACTAATAGATTCCTTTCAAAGAGAGTTTATTATGCCAAGCTTTTAGACCAATTAGATAAGATATGAGAGTACAGAGACCAGGATTAGGAAAAGAAAAAGTAATCTTAAGCCAAGATGATGTGCCTGCTCACAGAAGTGTTCTCATGATCAGAAAAATAAACTAATAAAATTACAATTTGATGCCACATGTCTTATTCACCTGATTTAGCTCCATCCAAATTCTATTTATTTCAAAACCTGAAAAATTCATTGCTGGAAAGAGATTTCTTCAAATGAAAAGGTGATAGCAGATGGTTATTTTGCAGAACTTCCAGAATCACACTTCAGGAATGGCATAATGAGTTTTGAGTACTGTTGCACAAAATGTATTGAACTTATGGGAGACTATATTGAAAAATAAAAATAATTTCAAAAACATATAAACTGTTTTTCTATTTCATTCCAAGAACTTTTTAAATGAAAAATGTACAACCTCATCAATACAAAATGCCAATTTTTAAGTCCCTTCAACTTTGTATTAATGGAATTTGACTGTATATTTAGTTTCTGAAGTTCACAAATAAAATAACAACAATTATATGAAGAGGAAAATAGTTTTTCAGGATATTGACACCATACAAATGAAATTACCAAATATAAAAAGTCAGTGCTTTTTGAAATAAATTTTCATTTATTTCCTGCTTTTCATTCATCCAATTCTGTGATTGGCATTGACAAACGAGAGATATATTTAAAATACTTTAAGCCAAGAAGCTGATATTATGCAAAAGATATTTTCAAAATAATGTTCAGTTGTAAAAGAAAACAATGACCAAAAAAAAAACTACATGATGTTTTCTTCTATTTTCAAAATCATTTGAATCTAATACTTTGTTTGCTAAAAATTTTTAATTATTAAATGCATAGATCTAAGTAATGTATATGTTACCGCTAAAGCTCGAAAGCCGTTAATGTGTACATTACCTAGCTAATCTCCAGATTAACTAGGGTGATCCGTGAACGTGCGGAATCAAGAGTTTTTCGCATTTTACCTAGGTAATCTGCACATTAACGGCTTCCGTATCGTTAAAGTTCAAAAGTTTGTTTCTCTCATTTCCTTTCCCTACTCCTTCCTTTCTCCTTCCATTTTTAATTTGGTTCTGCCAGTGTCTTGATGTCACAGGTTGTTCTTATTTCTTATAATTTTCGTCGGCTGCCAGTGCGTAGCATAGCTAATTCTGTTTTCAAATTCGTTACTGCTTGTTAGCGCGTGAATTAGTGCCATGATTTTTTAAATGTAGATAAATTTAACTCCTAGCATGCAAGAAAGCACCGAATTGGTGAGTAAAATGAAGAAAAGATTCTTCGCAAACCTCTTTAGCAAAGATTCAAAATATAATAGTGTTTTAATGACAAAACGAAAGTATGATTCCATAATTGAAGATGTAAAGCAAATAAAAGTTTCCAAGAAGAAAGAATCAGAGATCAGTGGCGTAGCATGGGTGTCAGCCACCTGGGGGCTGCGAAATTTTCCTCCGCCCCCTTATTTAGGTATCTCAATTTAAAAGACAGTTAATTCAGTTTCGTCACAGAATAAGTAATGAAAAATTCTGTGCTCATTTCAATCGGTCTGAATCGTAGGTGCGACAAAAATATGAAATGAAATGGTTCAAATTTTTACAAGATATTTTTATTATTTATTGTGAAATTTTTCCGCCCACTAAAAGTGCTGCCCAGGGTGGGCTGCCCCCACTATGCTACACCACTGCTCGAGACTAACAAATAATTCAAAGGTATGATGTGTTGACTGTACGAGGCTGTGAAAAACTCATTGAGCCGTTGTCAGATGCGCGAGAAAGTGTGAAAAAGTTTGTCCATGCCGAAGAATTGTTTGACATATTGTATTTGACTCATTTGTGAATTGGCCACGGTGGAAGAAACAGAATGATCAAGCAATTAAAAACATTTTTATAAAAACATAACCCAAGCCCAAATAAAAATGTTTTTGGATTTATGCAAACCTTGTCAACAAAAACAAAAATGTGCAAAAAAGGGTTTGTTGTAAAGCCGATTATTTCATTGCATTTCTACAGCAGATGCCAGGTGATATTATCAATTACCAATCTCAACCAGATGGAAAGTTTAAGTTTCTTCTCGTATACCAAGATCACTTAACAAAATTTGTTGTATTAAAGCCACTCACATCAAAACGGGTGGATGAAATAGCCTATAACTTGCTGGATATTTTTCTCCTTTTTGGCGCTCCAAGTATTTTGCTTTCTGATAACAGACATGGATTTTGCAATAAAATCTTAGAATGTGTAACACAATTGTGGCCAGAAATCAAAATGGTTAATGGCAAACCTAGACACAGCCAAAGTCAAGGAAGTGTAGAATGAGCGAATCAAGACATTGAAAACATGCTAACTACTTGGATGACTGATAGCCAAACTAACAAGTGGAGTGAGGGTGTATGATTTGTACAATTCACAAAGAATCGTGCCTATCATTCTCCAATTAAAAGAAATCCATACGAAGCCATGTTTGGTTGTCCCGCAAAAGTGGGATTGTCTTCTTTTATTATACCACAAAGTGTATTACATTCAATAAATACTGAAGAATATCTTGAAAAATTAGAAGATTCACAAGAGACTGTGATTATTGGATCACAGCCAAATCTTACTCAAAATGACATTCCATTATCCCCTGCTTCTACAGAATCACCTATAGAAATACAATAATTTATTGATAGTAATCTTAAACTGCCTTCTACACCGTTGATTGAGGAATATTCAGTTACCCTGCACCTCCAAGAAATCACCTCTGCAAGTTGAAGAAGTCATCACTGAGTTACCCTAAACTTCAGCAGAATCGCCATCACAGTTTTGTACAGAGCCTGTAAAGAACACTATACAAGACAAGTCTGTATTGTTTGCTCAAAAGCAGTATCAAGTGCTCAAAGTGTAAATCGTGTGATATGTTTATTCATATAGTTGGTGGTGAAGTACATCCTAAAGAGGAAGGATATGGTAAGAATGTATTGTGCAACATCTGTAAAAAAATATGGATCAGAAAATACAATGTAATGAAGCCAAGAAATGTTTAGAAAAGCAAGCAAAGAAAATGTTAGCAGTTTCTAATGCAAAGCACCCAAATGTTGAAGAAGTTATCACTGTGAGAATTAAAGTACCCGAAGAAGACAGAACAAAAACTGATGCATGCTCAATTTTAGCTGTGGTTCTTAGTAAAATAGAAGATGCTTTTATAAACTTGGTACTAAAATGGGTATCTTAAAACAATTGTTTGCAAAATCTGAATTTAGTGTTTGCAAAGAGAGATTTTTAACGAAAGAAGATTCCCTGTGTAGAAATATCTTTACGTCAAACAGCAATAAAACAATCCTTTGGTACTGGGCAGGGTTTCAGAGAATGTGACTGCAAATCTAAACGTACCTCAAATAAGTGTGCTTGTCGCAAAAACCAATTGTTATGTAATTCAAAGTGTCACCAATCTTTAGATTTCACTAATAAGTAAGCATAGTTTTATCATATGTTTTGCAAATTCATTTCCCTAATTGTAAAAATATTTTAAACCATTTGATTTTTGTATTAGTTTTTTAAACTGATGATTGATATCAACTGATTGTTTGATTGTATTAACTTGATTCTTTAGATATCGAAAATTAAATAAATAACATTATGTTAATTTAAGCATACAGAAATGTTGCTGTTGTTCCAGCAAAGATCTTATTTTCACTTTACCGAGTGCCTAGTAGGTAATGTGCAGATTACCTAGATACTCTGCACATTATCTAGGTAATTTGAGAAATGGAATAATTTTCGCAGCTTTAACGGATCACCCTAGTTAATCTGCAGATTAGCTAGGTAATGTACACATTAACGACTTTCGAGCTTTAGCACGGAACATGTAATTAACATGTTCCGTGCAATGTGTCAACTTCTAAAAATTAATATATTACTTACATTGAGTTAAACATACTGAGTAAAGCTGTAAATGCAAATCCAATTGCAAACATGGATTTCATTTTGACCTAGAAAATACAAATTTAAAAATTTATTAGTATAATGTTAAAATGTTAAAGTATACTATAATTTAGCAAATTGAATGTATCTTAATTTATCAATCTTACTCATTAAATTACTTATTATATTATTCAATTTGATTTTAAGATACAATATTTTTTCAGTCTAAGGATTCAGATATGATAATTGTTCTATTTCAGTTATCAAGAGACTGTAAATTAGTTACAAATCAGGAATGATAGCAGTATTGTTAATATATTTTTAACAATCATTCTTGGCTTTTAGATGTTTGGCTATTGAAATTGTTCTAGATACCTTTGCATAAGACAGCAGTTTAGTCATCTACCTTGAAGTCAAATTCTGCAATTTAAGATTAAGTTTAAGAGTAGCATATAAATTAATTATGTTAAAACATTCATGTATTTTTAATCATCATATTTGTTTTTCTTAAAGTGAAAGATAAAATTTTAAATATGTGTCATTCATGAAATTCACAAATACATTAAAAGTTTTTCATAACAAGTACAATATAAAATAATTCTTAACCTATATATGTCAAATTTTGATAGTTAATTGTAAAAAAATTTAGTTGATTTATCTGAATTTAGTATCTGATTTGTATTATGAAATATATATGACTTCAGTCAGTAATAACACTGCTGTATTTTTGGTAAATGTTATGAATAAAATGATACAAATTTAAGAAAATTATGATGGAGAAACTTGGATCAAAAAATATTAATAAATATCTTACTATTAAATTATAAATGAACTTTTTTAAAACAAAAATTAATTATGCATATTTTGAACATATACAGAAAATTTCTTTTAAAGCATTATTTATTAAATTCTTGCAATTAAGCAAATAATAATGGCCAATTTTATAGTTTATCATCATTATATAAATGTAATGACAGTTCCAACAAAAGTTACAGAAAAGATTAAAACCCTGAATTCCAACAGCAGCTTTTTAAAATGTCTGTTGTGAGTTATCAATAGTTTTTTTTGTTGTTGTTTTGTTTTAGAACATCTTTATCAAAATTTAAATATATTTTTCTTACTAATATAGATGAGATTAAAGTTAAAAATACACAAATATGGAAATTTAATAGTGTGTTCAATAAAATATACAATAAATTAAGATTTAAAAATTATAGCTCCTTAATTTTCTCATAAGTTATTTGATATCTAAAGGTATTTTTTAAAAGTATATATATATAAATCCTACATAAGGAAGCTTCCTTTAGATATGGCAACAAATGATATGAAAGACTTATATTTTTGTATAAAATTATCTCATGGAATACAATTTTGCCATAAACCCTTCTGCTACTAAAATATATTTCTATCCATTTTATCAACACAAGTTTTTATTTTTTTGAATTTTTAAAGAACTAATGAAGTTCAAGAATAAAAACTGACAACTATTTCACAAAAACAGGTTTTTGTGAAATAGTTGTAGTTTAGAAATAGTAGTTTGACAACTATTTCACAAAAACAGTCACACTCATCTTTTTCAAGGTTGCTTTAAAAGTTATTCATCATCTATCATGTTCTTTTAATTCTTTTTTTTAAAGTTTAAAATTAATAATTAATATTAATTTTAAAGGCTGTTCTAATATAAATAAGCCAAAATACCTTAGCTTTTATTAAAGACTTCCAAGTATTTACTTATTAAATCAAACTGCTTGTTTGTGAAAAAATAATTACTGTTCTGTAATATTAGGACTTCAGTTTTTATATTTTAAGGTTTTTTTATAATTCTATACAACTATTGATATTTTTATCTGGAGTTGTTTGCTTAATAAAAAATTTGATTCATTTATTAAATAATGAAAATTTTATCAAAATTTATAGATGCTAATACTCAGAATATGAAATGAAAAAATCTTAATTATAGATATTTTACAAATTTTAAAATGTTGAGATGTTAAAATATTTTAAAACATTTCATTATAAAATAAAAAAACAAGATATTAATATATTCTTATTAATGTTATGTATTTATTAATATCTTATTGCCTTAAGACAATAAAATATTAGTAGAAAACAAAATCAAGATCAACATGAAAAAATCATCAATCCAAAGCCTTAAATTCTCACTTGTGAAATTTTACCAGTCAGAAAAGTCAAGACAAGATCATTTCAAAGTGACAGCATTGTTTCTGCCATGGGATGACATCAGAACTGCTCTGTTGACATCATTGAAGTATTTTCCACCACAGTTCCAAGCAAGAACCAGCCTTTACAATATCACTCATGTTTGATAGCACTTGTCAGAATTTGCTGTTTGTTGTAAGCATTGTTACCAGATAACCATGTAAGAAAATTGTAAAATCTGTTTCAAAATAGTTCAAAGTTGCATGCACAATGACATATGAAATTTTGTGCATTTCTTAATGTAATTTTTTGTTTTGTTTTTCTATATTCATTTAAATGTATAAAATTTACAATTTGAAGCGAGTCCATTTTCTAGTTATAGTATATAGCCAAGGATCTCCAAACACTTAAACAAGAAATTTTCTTCAACAGAAACATTTTATATAGGAAAAATCTGCACATCTCTTATGACGAAAAATTGAGACTTGTGAAATTAAACTTCTTACACAGGCAAACTTCTAATGTGAGAATTTCTTAACAAAGTTCTACTATATTCATTTTTTTCACTGCAGATATATTTCCAATAAAAATAAACTTATTCACTATAAATATGTTATAATATTCCAACACTTATTGAGAGACTATTTACATCACAACAGTGATTTTCAGCTTGTATAATTAATACTATTGTGATAAAACAATTCATTGTAGTATAACAATTACAAAATGGTTATGATGTAGAAAATTTAAACCTATCATAAATGTAAAAAGAGATTCAAATATTTCAATCTCAATCTATTTTTAAACTATAACAATAATTACTTTTTGTAGGAAAGATATATAAGAATGCAATTGTGTTGTTACTTTATGAGAAAATTTAATCAGAAATAGTTTTTGTTGTAATTTTTGAATATTCTTAATTTGAGTAGGAAAATTGTATCAAGAAAATAAAAATATTTTCAAGATGAATTTATTTTTATTACATAATATTAAAAATTAAGCAAGTTTTCTCTGAGATTTGGAATCTGATAACCATTTTTGTTTCAGAAATCAATGTCAAAATATATTAATATATATATAATTTATAGTTTAAATTATAGCAATTAATATTGTAACATTGGAAAATAATAGAAAAAGTATATTTATTCTATAAAAAATTAGTATTTTTAATTTCTGGTTATATTTTTGCATATCTGCAAACTTCACCTACAATCTGTTTATGGAAAGAATCAACTCAAGATCATCATCATGCATGGTATTGTTTCAGTTAAACCAATCAGCACATTCCCTAATGATGTCAACACTTTTTGCTTAATATGTCAGGCAATATGTGAATTTTATTTTATTTTCTCTCACTAGATAGCAGCACAAATTTTCTGTTAATTGTGTTATTTTTTATAGTGTGCATTAACTGTAAAGAATATGCATTTAATAACTACTATATGTTCTATTTTTATTTATATGGCAATACATATATAATAGTTGTTTTATTATAAGTTTAGATATAAGTTTGACGTGGCTGCTCTTTACCACTAGTTTTTTAGTCCTGAAAAGGACCTTTTACTTTTTTCATATCAATGTGATGGTAGAATGGATTTTCATCTTTGCTTTCAGAAGTTGCTCGGCAATGTATTAATTAATATTTGTTCCACAAAGTCCAGTTAGCCAGTGGATTCCCAATATTCTTCCATAATTTTTTCTATGTGATGAATTGCCGCTATCCAATTTTCTTTAGTTATTGATGCAAAAGCATTTGCATCCACCAATTTATATGGTGTTATAGACAATGTATGCTTTAACTGAGCCCATAATTTAATGGGATTAAATTTGCAATGATAGGGAAACAAGCAAATAATTTTATGACCTGAATGCAATCTCTTCATCAACCTCATAACACCCTGAGTTCTTATGCATCTTAATTATTTCATAAAGTTCAGCTCTGTATGGTTGATCAGAAAATGAAATAATTCAGATGCATAAGAACTCAGGGTATGTTATGAGGTTGATGAAGAGATTGCATTCAGAGGTCATAAAATTATTTGCTTGCTTCCCTATCATTGCAAATTTAATCTCATTAAATTATGGGCTCAAGTTGAATTAGCCAATCTGTCATTTTTTGTTTTTGACTATTGCTGGACAGAGGGTTCTCCAGCTGACGACTATACAGTAATATGAAGCATTGTCCATAAAAATATATGATTTTTCTGGAATGTTGAGAATAAGTTGACTCAGACCATTTTAGAGAAACATCCACATCCATTTCTTTGCAGTAGTTTGGGTCATTGCCTTTGGAAATGAAAACAAATTGGGCATTGGTAATAAAACCATTTTCATTTCCAGCAAAAAGAATTATCAATTGTCTGCTTTTTCCAATTGAGACTTTCAAATTAGTTGCACTGTCTTGCCAGCATTTTGATAGTGTGATGTTCATTCATCTGTCTCATCTGAATATTACAAGACTGGCTTTTATCCACAGTTTGAACTGTTCATAAAAAATTAATTCTGAATGGAACTATGTCATTTCTTTCCACAAGTGCCTTTAGCCAGTTAACTTTACAATAATAAAATCCAAGCTTATTCACAATCTCCTTTAATGATTCAATGCATACGTTAAAACCTATCTTTTCTTTTGCTATTGTTGTTGTTGGTTAAGTTATGGCAACACAACACTTGGGCAATCTGCCTAGGGGGGATGCCTTCCAGGAGGTCTTTTTAAGGGAAACTGGCCCCTATTTAGGTGTTACAGACATGGAGAAAACCCAGAAAACGCCACGTGACCAGCCCGTCCGAGCGAAGTGCAAACTCCCAATGTTCAGGGTACAAAGACAGCTTGGCCACTGGTGGGCACCATCTTTTCTTTTAAATCAAAGGTTCCCAATTTATTTTTATCACGGAACCCTTTTTACCTTAATAAAAAATGTTGGAACCCTGCAGATATCAACAAATTAAAGCATACTAGGTAGCCACTTTACACCAGAACGATACCAAAAATAAAACTACAATTAAATATAATCAAAATTAATTAATTAAAATTGAAATCAAATCAATTGAAAATTAAAACAATGTTTTTAAAAACCATTTAAAAGTTGTTTTGAAATTTTCAAATTGTAAATCAAATTTATTTCAAAATTTACATTATTTTTGTGTGCAGTGGTGACAATGTTTCTCCTTTAATATGTTTTAATATCATATATGCAGATTTAACAATTGTATTTTTATTTATATGTTGGATTCTTTTTAAGGTTATGATTTTTTAAATG